GCGATTTAATTTAATATCACTGTACACGTTGTTGTTGTTGTTGTCCTTTCACGTGTAAGCTGACATTATAATTCCCGAAAACATTGTTGCCGTCGGTTGTGCAATCTGGTTACCTACATACATACATACATACATATATGAATTTGTGTCTCTACAACTGCCACACAAAGTGAATTGGTGAGAAGAAAGAGCAAAAACAAAAAACAACAACAGCAAATAAACTACGCACATTTCCCTTTAGCTACGCGTACTCTGCCATAAAGGTTTTTGCGCGCCTCTTTAACGCACTCTACGCAATAAAATAACCACTTTGAAGTTTAAACGCCGTTAAGAAAGACGTTCTTACAAATCGAAAGCATAGAAACGCAAAACGTAAGACAAATTTGTAACTAATACACAAACATACATACCTAACACACACGCTTATAAATATTTAATCAGCTCCGCGTATTTGTGTATTTTGTTTGTTCTGAATGCTGTCGTTTTTTGTTTTTGTTGGAATCTGAAAACGTAATAACATATTCGGCGCCACATTTGCCGCATCAATCGGCGCCAACCGAACCATCACCCCACCCCCTCACAGCGAGAGATACTCTTTTCCTTCACTTTGTTACTCAACAGCCGGAAATATAGCGGATATTAACAGTGCGTTTCGTGTAAGCAATTCTGGTTTGTTTGTTACGCATCGTCCTCGCTTTGATTAACCAACGGGAATTTTGTGTCTGGTGATTTGGTTTCAATAAGTTTTGGTGCTATAAAGTAAAAACCTTCCTTATGATCGGATCATTTTGGAATTTGTGTAGAGCGTGCCCATCAATGCCGGTCGACAAGGTGAGTGGAATAGTTGGTATATAAATATAATACATATATTTTTATATGTTGTAATTTTTTAACAATCATGATCAAATCGCTTAAGAAACTAGTTTAAAATATTTGTCTTCTTGCATGATAAATAACCCGTAAGAAGTTTTCATTAGAATACATTTCTGGTTTACATAAATTGTTAAGCAATTAACGATTGAATGGTTCCCAAAGGATATCATAAGTCTCTTATTAAAATTCAACGTTTTCGTAGTAGTTAACAACCCCTGACTTTACTAAACAGTTTCTTAACAGATCAATATTATGACTGGTTATTTTAGCGAAACATTTAATTTTTTAACAGGGTTTTCAATGAGGCAATACTTTTTTCGGAATTCGTATTTTTGACAGTTGTGACTTGATTTATACTCAGTTGTTGTGTGGTTATGAAAAGTCGCTTGTCTACGCAGATAAAATCGAGACAATTGACACTTTGAAAGAGAATATTCAGCGCGTTATTGCTGACATACGACGCCAATTACACAAAAATTGAGCATATCTCGTCCCAAATCATTTTTAAAACATAATGCCAAACCCCTATTTTTATAATAAAGCTAAATTCTTGGCCATAACATTGAATTATATGCGTTTTATTTCTTCTTAAAAACCACATTCCTAAAAAGAAAACATTTATAAACTATAAGTCAAAATAAGAATAGAATATTTTAAAAAATTACGCTAAATGCAAGTTCAATATGAATTCCCACGGTGGCTGAAAAATTGGGTGTTAGTATCGACCTAGCCTCACACTTGTAGCCTGTATTAAAGATCGTGTGTGAGCAGCTTTCTTACATAGTTTTAGGAAAAAGCTTTGCTTACTAACGCATAAAAGAAATAATACTCGGTTTTCAGGATCCCAGTTTTTTAAAAATTGCCCCACATAAGAGTTCTCAAAAATGTGGCTATCGTTTAGATGAGCTTCGTGTCTTTGTGCTGAAAATGTTGCCAGTTCTCATAACTTTTTAATAAGCAGTTGGAGTAAAAACTGAAATCATTTGAAAGATCCAAGGACTAAGTCGAAACTTTATAATTCTAGATCACTCATTAATTTTTTTGTCTATATTAGCAAATTACGAAATATTTAAATATTCAATGTTTTACTGTTATTATATGTACATTTGTATATTTTAACTGAAATTCCTTTAACACAGTGGCTGCCATTTCACACGTTTTCTTGCGACCCACGAAAATTATGGGGTGCAACGTCGTTCGAAATCGTGTGACAAGGGTTGTTTGATATTCAATGTTGTCATGATTTTTCTACCACGTGACAAGAATTTCACAATGTTTTCTGGTTACGCTGAAATATGCACAAAAATTTACCAAAAATGTTTTCTATTAATTAAAAAATTGCTGCAATCCGGGTATTGAATTTGAGTTTTGCATGCAAGTCTGCGAATGTCTGTTATGTCCTCAACGCTTTCCGCTAACTTGAAAACATTAACAATAAAGTATTGCCTACATTTAGGGTGTAAATAAAAGAGACGTTTGAAAATGATGATTGGTTTTCACAAACTTTAAAAAACGACGGCTGTTATATACAAATATGTTGATATTTGAGAACATCGTACCATAAGAACATATTATATATAAATATAATTTGCATATACATATGCATAAATTACAAAATTCGAAATTTATGTGATATTTTTATACCCTGAACAAGGTATCCACACAGAGGGAAACGTCGGAGACCCTGTAAAATATGTCCGCCTGTCTACATATACGTGAACTAGTTCCCAGTTTTTGAACCAAACTCCGAAGAAATTGCTCAGATCGGACCACTGTAGCATAAAGCAGTCATACAAACTGACCGATAAAAATTATGTTTTTTATCGAATATTTTGTATATGTGAGGGATATTTAAGCTTTGGTGCAACCGAAGTTAACGTCTTTCTTGTTTCATCTCCAATTAATTTACTTGAAACATGATTCATATGCTATGAATATACTAGATCTGCTTAGAAATGCTCAAGTATAACTAATTTATCAAATGAAATTTAAAAGCAAGCTAGTGGTATATCCCCAAATGGACTAGCCCTCAAATGTATGCTTTAATATAATAAATATACATATAAGTACATGTAGTATATGGAAATGCAATATTTTACAAGCTTATTATATATATCATCAATTCTATTGCTACTATTATTGGAGGCCAATACGACTTGAAGCTCTTAATTTATGCATTTAGCTCTATTTATCGTAATTGATTGAAATTGTGCGGCTTAAGTCATAAGACAATGTCGTTAAGTCAATAAAACATATTTAAGAGCAAGTGTAGCCAGGGTTTAAATCTGTTAGGAAACAAAATTATTAGGTGAAGAAATGCAAAAGAATACCAACGATAGTAAAGAAACATGTAGTGAACGAACGTGTGAACAAAGGCGAAACGTGTAAAGTTCGAAAAATACGGCATAAACGAAAAATCGATAACATATGGTTGGACAAAACGGGTGTACGTACAATTGAAGAGTTAGTCAAAATAAACAAAAACAAATTGCCGTGTAGTCAAAAAGTGGTGACTTATGGCAACGTTACACTTTGCGCCCTACACCCACCGAAATGAATATTTATACAGCCTGACAAAGAGAGTGGGTGAGTAAGGCAAAAAGAGAGCGCATATATAGTGAAAAACCACACAGCAAGAGAGCGTTCATTTTGCCTACATACCTATATACATTTATAATAGCCACTGGAAAGCCGCGCAAGAACGGCGGTATCCTCGACCAACCACGTTGCGTTTACAGGGTTGTCGTGCATATCCTGTTATAACGTGACGATTGCGGTACCGGCTTCTGTTGCTATTGTTTTTGTTATTTATACTCGTATATATTATACAAACACACACATACTTACTGAGCAATATATAAGGCACAAGTGAAGATTACGAAAAGCTCACTTCGTTTTGCTGCCTGACATTATAACAGTTCAAGTGATTTTATTACTTAACGATGCTAAAGAATCTCCGCACGACTCGTTCGTGTCGCACAGCGGTAGGTATGTCTTCTTATAGCTACGTTTAGCATGTGAGAAATGTCTGTGCATCAGCCGCTATGGTGATTCATGCTTACGACTGCGGTCTGTTGTTGTTTTTGATGGTTTTCTGTCGCTTCCCTAGCGTAATACCGGCTCTAATCGTATATACATAATTATTTTACATATGTACATATATACATATAAATATGTATATGTAGATCCTTTTCGGTAAATTACTGAATCGATTTGCTTTCTTATTTCCCCCCAAATTTTTTATTATATTCGTCAAAGCTTGACGAAGCTCTTTGTGTTGTTCGCAGTTGCACTAACCAACCTTATCACATGTCGGCCAATGCACGCCAATCTAACTGGTTGACTGACTGACTGACTGCATGTCGTGCATATTTGAGTGAGTGCTTGTCTCACTGCCAGCCGTCGTGGTGACCCGGTCTGGCCTGGCTCAAATGTGCAGATAGCATGTTTTTATGTATGCTTGCATTAGTCTGGTGGTGTCTATATACCCGCTGCTTGCGACTGCTTTGCCGCAGCGTGCCCTGTTTGTGCTCATTCACTTTGGTAGTTTGCCAACACATCGTGACTGCACTGCGCGCTTGTTTTCTCCTTCGCACATACTTCTTATTGTGGCGCACATCCTTTATTTTATTCATCCTGCAATGGTGTGATAATGCAACCTCAGCTTTAAATTGCTGCTATAGTCGGCTGCTTTATATGTATTTATGTACATACAAAACGTTATTTGCATAATGCTTGCGAGAAATTCGATATTTTGTTATTGTGCCTTGTGGGCTCGATGGTATTTTTGACATTTTTGGCACTCCAGTGCAACGGCATTGTATTGCTTATTCTCCCTGAGTCTGGTGTCAGTGACATATGTGCTTTGCAAAGTGACGTATTTGATTATTTCTCGATCAGCTGTTCGTTGATTTGATTGACATTTAATTAAGTAATGCTGTAACATAATATTAGCGAGAGGTGTTGCTGATAATAAATATGTGAAAATATTAAAAATTAATTAATTTGTTTTAATGCGACCGTTGTGGTGTATACTACTCTACTTCTGTAAAGGATCTGTATACGATATAATACTATTTTTGATAATATTCTCAGCCTTTGGCAAGCTGCCACTCATGGAAAACTTCCATACATCCACCAACTTTGGTAGGAAGACCTCGGCTCACTAATAAACAAAACAAAGGGTCAAGTGCTTAAGAAAATGTTTGCTTTCCTCAAACTCTTCTTTAACTGAAACAATTATGTCAGCTTGGCCAACATGATTTCAAAATAAAAACAGATTAATTAATTTGGTGATCGTATCAATTCATCCTTAAGGATGCACCAATTATGTGTTCTATGTTGCATAGAACATAGTATACTAGTAGAATCTCCACAATAATGTACGTAGCTTAAAAAAAATCAGATTCCAAGGTTGTAAATCTGAACCCCAGTTTAATAAAATTATATTGTAGATTAGTTTAAAGCGATAAAAATGGACAATGTCTGCTTGATAGGAGATAATCATTTTAAGCTTAAAATCATTAGAGTGATTGAGAGTGTTAAATATTTCCTGTTTTGATTTTTGTCCACATTGTATCATATAACTGGTTGAATTGCTGGCGATTGTGTAAAGTGTCCACTCGCAAGAACGACATATTGTTCAAATATAATAAAATACTAATTTGTTCCAAATCGGTTCTGTCTCCTGTGTTATGCAGATAATTGGATGCCATTTATGATTTGAACAAAATGTGGGCCAAATGACCAACATGGCTCCATTTGCATATCTCCACCCGTTTACGCCAATTTTCGCCGACCCGGTGCGGCATTTCGGCTGGAATTTCGGTAATAGTGCGATGAATGTTATCTTCGAGCTCCTCGAGGGTTGCTGTTTGATTAACCTAAAGCATTGATTTAACATACCCCGAGAGAAGATAATTTAGAGGCGTTAAATCCCATGATCTTGGCGGCTATTT